TATATATATATAAATCTTTACCGTTGACATACCTTTGTATACTTTTTGAGAAAAACAAAAACGGATAACTTCACTAGTTGTGTACTGACTCAGTTATTCAATATTACAATGACTGTTTAACTAACTTGACTTGTGACTTTTTAAATAATTAAAGAAACATTACCGGGTAAAGAGAGAATAGCATTCAAAGCAATAGCCTGATTTAATATTAGCATAATAAATTAAAATAATATAAGATAATAACAGAGCTCAAATTACCCTGCGATGTGATAGAAAAATTAACTGCCAACAAGATATATCTTTGCGTTCAAACAATATTCTTTTTTAAAATGCAATTTGTTTTCTACCAGCTTTCTACGTCTTGCTGACTATCACAGTAATGGCGGGGGACTAAGACAATTAAACTTCAGTCAGACAGTCCACGTATGCAATATCATCCGCAGATGTTACCTAAGTAAGTTTGCAGTGGCGGAGCTCAAATTTACATCAATGTCAGCATAGAGATACTTTATACCAACTTAACTTCCATCAAAAGAAACTATTCGTCTCTTGTATAGCGTAAATGTTTTTCGTCTGCGCAAAACAATTAATTTGTTAATTCATAAATGAGATCAAACGTATGCATACAAATGCTTTAAAAGAGACGCTGAAATACTTAAATACATATAAGCTCATATGCAAACATACAGAAGAACACACAAACGCACATTACCACACTGATTAAAAAAATTCATAAAAAACGTTTTAATAACAAGCTTTTATGTAATAATGCACTGAAAAGTAGAAAATAAATTATAGACTACTATTTAAATTACTATAAAGAAAAGCGTGGGTCACTTTAGTACCGATTGGATACCTTTACTAATATTTGAGAAGAGACCCACGCTTTTCTTTATAGTAATTTAAATAGTAGTCTATAATTTATTTTCTACTTTTTAGTGCATTATTACATAAAAGCTTGTTATTAAAACGTTTTTTATGAATTTTTTTTTCAGTACTTTACATGTTTTATTTACAATAGAGTTACATGACTAAAAACCATTGCGCGCCTACTGAACGTGATGGCGCAGCTATTGAACGTACCGTGATGGCGCAGCTATTGAACGTGATAACGCGTGTGGTGTGGTTGGCTAGACATGCCTACTAATTCGGTCCAAATTTTAATTAATTCATAAAAAATTAATTAGGCATCCAATTAAGTCAAATTTAGTTTCAAATTGCATTGTCTTCATGTCTTGACCCACGTGCCAAGTGTGAATCGTATCGGTCAAGTAGAAGTTTCCGAATTTTCACTCCTGCGTTTCTGTCTAGACAGACAGACTGTCGACTGACGACAGAGGAAGTGAGTTAAATAAAAGCTTGTAAAAAGGCACACGACATTTTGAATGAGGTATTAGTCTCTAGAGTCATCAAGATGGAAAACCAAACAAAGTGTTATGTCCAACGTCTTATGCAAAACTTTAAGATGTCTGATTAATGTCGTGAATGCTAGTTCAACATAATAATATACTGACAAAATGTTCACGTTTTACGAAAATATTATTAAACGAGACAGAATTTACTTAATTTTACTTCCAAATCTTGCACCTTGACCCTTCAAAAGGTATACATATTAACATTGTTGGGTATTACATAAACAAATTGCTCAGTGATAGAGTTCAAAACTTATTAAGGCAACACCTATGACAATACGCCTGGATTAAAAATAATAGGATTTATTTATTATAAATCATTGCTTTAATCTATATTGCAATATATAAACATGTAAACGTACACGTAAACGTACACGTACACGTACACGTACACGTACACGTACACGTACACGTACACGTACACGTACACGTACACGTACACGTACAAGTACACGTACACCTACACGTACACGTACACGTACATTTACACGTACACGCACATGCACATGCACATGCACGCGCACACGCACACGTGCATGTACACGTACATATATATATATACACACACACATATATATAAATATATATATATATATATATATATATATATATATATAGGCCTATATGTGTGTGTGTGATGATATATGAAGGACTATGTAATCAAAATATAAAACTGGCACTTGGTTAAAGTGGGAGACATGCTTGTGAAATCTCGGACGGAATAAACTGCATTAATAAACCAAATAGATATCTAGACTGGTAACCTGAGAGCCTCGAGTTCGAATCTAGATTCAAATCAGTAGAACGTCTCTGAGTCCCGCATGCTTTCATGAGTACCTAACTTACGTTAGGGAAGTAAAGGTGGCTGGGCATAGTGCTAACCACACTATCCCTTCATATGTCTCTGAAGCAAATGAACTCTACTTCATCTGCCCCATGTGTGTTGGGCATGAATGGGAAATGATTATAATGAATAAATCTAAAATAGAAAAAAATCATGTTTCCTTACCGTTGATGGAAATGCTTTACTTATATATATTTTGTTAATTTGATAACCCTATTGCGCAAATTTAACCATTTGCATCAGTCAAGAATAGAACAAAAAAAAAATAAAGCAAATAAGTATCTTTTTAATAAGGTATTACTAAACTCAATGTAAAATGCTATTCTTTCTTATAATATTATAGAGATGTAGAATGTTGATGCCACACTTTCAAAGCTTGAGCTTTACAACAAAATCAACTTAGTTTACAAACTATTGCCTTGATCTATGCTTTAAAGACAAGGCGAAACGTTTTGTGGGTGGTTGTTATAAAAGATGCAAGCAAACGTTGTCCAATTATACATTCACCGATATGAAGTATAGTGGAAGCAATGTGTTTGAGCAAACAAATGAAAGTCTTCCCCTTTCCTGAGACGGAAAAACCTGGTTTTACAATTTGTCTGTATGTCTGTCTATTCGTGAATACGATAACTTAAATACATATCAGTTATGTTGATGAAATTGCATAGTTTATAAAAATGTTTGTTTCTCAAAAGAAAATAACTTGAGTACCGTTAAACGTTTAAAAATATAATATAATCTCGTGCAAAAAATAAATTGCGCACCAAGCGAACATCAAACAACATTTCTATAACAGTGCAGAACATTAGTACTTTATAAATACAAATGCCTTTTTTTAAAAAAATACGAAAATAGCGTAAAATACAACTTCTGGTCACCGTAATTTTTTTTTTTTAATTTGGTAGAAAAGAAAGAATTAGATCGTTTAGTTGTATCTATCAATCAGAAACAGTACCTAAGTTTTAGGCCTTTGAAAAACCGAAAGTAGAATAAAATCCACTTCCAGTTACCGAAAATTTACTGAAAAGTTGAGACAGGACTAAAATGTGATATTATATATAAAATCTCATCTACCTAGCTGTAACGGTACTCAAGTTATCACGTTCAAAGACACACAGACACACATCCACATAGCCATACAGACGAAATTGCAATATCCAGATTATCCAACTTAATGACTCGTAAAACGCCTAGATTTTGATGAATCTGGTTTTAGAATTTTAGCCCTATTAAAATTACTTCATCATATACTCTGTATATGATGAAGTACTGAGATATAAATCGGTGATGACTGTCAAAATTTCATGTGATTTTTGTTCACGATTACAATACTTCACAATTACTGTGTAAAATAGAAAGTAAAAAGCGTATTAGGTAGTTTTACTTATAGTTAACCCTAATTTTAAATCTTTGCTTGATCTGTATTTCGGTATATGAAACAAAAAATTGAGAAATTTTTGGATATTAAATTTAGTGTGATTAACGGAGCCATAATTCGAAAATTTATCTGCACTTTTTTATCTGCACTTAAAAGCTCTAGATGAGTACTCCAAAATATGGTAGAATTTATGAATTCATTGTTTACTCAGCTTAAAATATAATGCTTTATGAATTGGGGAAAACATACTTAGAGATTATTGTTTTCAAGACGGTTGCCGCTGTTATAGTTACAAAGATTTTCCCACACATTTTTAATAAAAATGGAAACACCTATTCTGCTGAACCTTTAAAAAGCTGTAGAGTAAAAATTGTTTGCTCTCTAGTATTTAAAATTTCTTTTATTTACCGGAGCCTACCCCCTTAAAATCTAGATCTAATAAAGTTAACCTTTTGTTATAGTGTTAGATAAACATGTTTTGTGTTTTTGTTTGTTTCACATTTTATTTAAGATGGATGTAATATTTATATTCAGGAAGCCTTTTCACGCGTCTTTTCTTTTGGATTTTGTGGCATTTGAGAAGACGCGTTTTAACTGACGGGCTAAGTCCAAAATTGTGTTACTGTTTGTCTTTGTAACCACATCAGTATCAACTGTTTTATGGTTCAAATTGTTCTATTTTATTCTCTACTGCGTTCACCATTCATGTGATTTTTCATGACTGCCGGACAATAATCACTGGCCATTCACCCTCATAAATCAACCACTAGACACACACTGGACTTAAATCATTTGATATACATCGGACATTAACCATTGAAATGCACCGGACATTAAGCATTGGACACACACCGGACATTAACCACCAGACATACACCGGTCATTAACCACTGGACATACACAAACCCGACGTAACCCATCGGACATACAACGGACATTAACAATTGGATATACACCCGTAACTAGATGAATATTGTAATTAATTGGCAGTTGATGCTAGTACTTTTGCTTCTGTTAGCATAATAAATTGCTATAAATATTTGGTGATAATATACACTATAGTTTAGCAACTCCATACAAAACTATTTACAGTACTAAAAATCATACAAATTACCCCCTCCCCCATTTCATTTATTGAGCTTAAATATATTACAGTAAATTTAATAACAATAATTATTAGTCAAATAATAGAATACAGCCAGCTACTTTTTCTAAGTTTCTATGGTGTCTTAAAATTAGGTTGCGTTTGAAATCAAATGTATTAAATGAATGATAAAAAATGTCTTGTCTATCAAACGAATACACATACTTATGTTTGAAAGCGTTTTATGTTAATAAACTAAACAAGTCCATCTTTATTGCTAAATTTATTATTGTGTTTTGAATGTTTTATTACACCAACATTGACAGGTGTGTACTGCGAAATAATCAAAGAAAATAAATAATATATATTGTAAATATTAATGCATCCACCGCTTTTAATTAATCTCTGTACGTCACTTAAAATGACTAATATTGGATTAAATTTAAAAAATTAAGCTACAAAACTTAATTGGGTGTTCACTAAGCGGAGCACCTAGTCAGTAACAGTTATTTGATTTCTATGTTGTGAAGATTTTTTTGACGACAACAGCATGAGCATAGCACATTCTACCTACTCCATCAGTTGGACGGTCATAAGTGAATGACATCTGATCGTTGATGAGGAACTGTAGAAAGTAAAGAAGAAGTAAGAACATATTTAAATAACTACTAAGCTACCCGTTATTCTTGAATAACCGTGGGTTTCGGGAGTAATCCATAAATGTTTCAAGATTTTTTCCTCCCTTCTCTTCCCACTGTCACAAATCGTCACAAAAAGTCAGACCCCACATTCAAAAAGACGTCAAACCTCAGACAACATGTTATAGTCTTTTAAAAACACCGATTTTGGCAGATCATCGATCTGGCCACACTATCCTTCATATGCTGAGGTCACAGACACAGGTGAACTCTACTTCACCGCCCTGTATCCCGCCAAGTCTCGATAAGCAACTTTTTAATTTACATTTTTTTTAAAAATAACATTCACGTGATGTGTCTCGAACCCGTGCCACCCGCATGGTAACTTTTATAGAGTGTCGCCAAAGATTTAAACTTCATTTTTGTTCTTAATAACTTAAAAAATTAAAAACTACATTTAATAACCTTTAATTTGATTCCAATTTAATCGGTAGCCTTGAAAATGATTTGTGAAAAAACGCGTTTGTTTTTAAAGAGCTACGATGATGATAAGACTGATTTTCAGTGATACGGTGGGTTAGTTTTTTATGAGTGTTTTTGTGACGCAATTGGTCGTTAACTGCCGTTCAGCAGAAATGTGTCGTCTGCTAGATTTATCCCTTTTCAAATACACGGCGGGCAAAATGGGCGAGCTTAGTTTGCTGTTGTCTCGATCAAGCTATGTTTTACTGGTTTCGTTTTTACCCTACATGATTTTTAAAACATTAATGACATTAGTTTAGTAAAAGCAAGTTATAATTTTCTATAGTTTAGATTATTTTTTCAGTACGTTTACAATATTATCAAATACAGCAACTCACGTTTTGCTTATTTTATTTTGTTCTGCTCGATATTCTATTAGCATCAAACACTATTTGTCCATTGTTAAAACTAGACCGGTATCATTGAATATTACGCAAAAATAACAATTTTAAGTATACATTTCTGAAATGACCATGAAACATTGTAAAAAAACAACAACGGAATTACGATATCGTCGTTTTCGCCAGCCATCATCACCATGACAACGGTAGAAAAAGTAGGTCAGTCGACAACCTTATCTATTACACTATTAACTCAGCTAGCTGGATTCTACCGTTAAGGTGAAAAATTAATGGGATAATTTACTTAAGAGTCAGCGTAAGAAACTTGAGTTACGCGAATAAGCCCAATTGTCACAAATTAAATTATATAAAAAATTAGCCAATGCCATAGCTAAACAGACAAAGTTTTATAAAAAAAATAATTAGGGCCTGAATTAGTTTAGTATAGAAACTCATTATTAGCATAGATTCAAGAGCTAGATAGAGCTAGATCTAAGTATGTGGATCTAGATCTAAAATCTACGGCTGGCTTGTAGCTTAAGTTTAGTTTTTCCGTAGCTCTAGATATATTCCTTGTATTCTCGAATTAGATGATCAAATTAGATAAACAACCCAGCGTATCGTAATGAAAATGGATAATAGCTATGAAACCTAATAAAAGTTGTAAACAGACGAATCGTTAAAGCTACAACCCACAGAAAACATAGCTTTATAACGCGTTAAACTTTTAAATGGGCATGATGGTCTTCCATGGAAGCCGCCATATTTTTTAAAAATTTAAGGAATCATGTAACGTCACTATAAATAACGTAATTGTTCTGAAGTTTAACAAATAATGTGGTGTTTCTACCAATAAATATATTAATAAATAAATTAACGTGTTTAAAAGTTTGGTAAAAAAAACATTATTCTCTACGTAAATACGTATTTTAAAGTTCTACTTATAGTGGGGACTGAGTGCTAGCCCCTAAGTCTCGAGTTCGAATCCGGGTTCAAATCAGTATACCGTCCCTGAGTCTACTCAGGGAAAGTAAAGGCGGCTGGGCATAGTGCTGACCACACTATCCCTTAATATGCCGAGGTCACAGAAACAAGTGAACTCTATTTCACTTGCCCTATAGACCGTCAGGTTCGAAAAGGGAACTTTACTTACACATAGTGTAGATGCTCTCATGTAACCAACCAAACAAACAAAAATATAGACACATGTAAACAACTTGAATTTTAGTAGTATATACAGTAAAAACACAAAAACAAACAAAATGTATTTGTGCGGGTCCCCGAATATTCCTTCAGCGCACCGCACTGCGCGAGGGGGTCAGTAGCCCATTGGTGCGATTATGGTTATTCACAAAAATTAAATCTATAATAATAGTTTCGCTGTCTGTCTGACAAGAACGCTCTGTCTGACAAGAACGCTCTGTCTCTATAATAATAGTTTCGCTGTCTGTCTGTCTGTGTGTGTGTGTGTGGGGTGGTGTGTGGGGGTGGGGTGGGGGTGGGGGGTGGTGTGTGTGTGTGGGGGGTTGGTTTCAGTGTTTCTTTCAGACTTTTTCCTCCCCGGAGAGGGGTGGGGGTACTTGAAATTTTCGGGGGCGGGGGTAGAATTTTCTGGGAGGGGGCGGACACTGGAAAAAGTATATAATTATATTTCGTTGAATGGGACGGTAGACATGTTTTTTTTTGGGGGTGGGGGGGAGGTGGTATGTGGGGGGGATGGGGGGGTGGTGTGTGGGGGGGGGGGGTGGGGGGTGGTGTTTTGGGGGGGGGGGGGGGGTGGGGGGTGGTGTGTGGGGGGGTGTTTGGGGGTGGGGGTGGGGGGGTGTGTGGGGGGGTGGGTTGGTTTCAGTGTTTCTTTCAGACTTTTTCCTCCCCGGAGAGGGGTGGGGGTACTTGAAATTTTCGGGGGCGGGGGTAGAATTTTCTGGGAGGGGGCGGACACTGGAAAAAGTATATAATTATATTTCGTTGAATGGGACGGTAGACATGTTTTTTTTTGGGGGGGGGTGGGGGGTGGGGGGGCGGTGTGTGGAGGGGGTGGTGTGTGGGGGTGAGGGGTGGGGGTGGGGGTGGTGTGTGGGGGTGGGGGGGGGGTGGGGGGGTGGTGTGTGGGGGTGGGTTGGTTTTAGTTTAGAGAAAAGAGACAGCACTATCAGCCTAGCGCCCGTTGTACCCTTCCTCAACGGGCCATTTTTCTCGTTACTTTAATAAAAATTGAGAGCCGACGTTCTCACGATCGTCCGCCCAGACATCTCTCCTTTCCAGACACGCGGAGTCATCTGAACCGCCGCCGAAGAACACGTTTACCCGGCAGTCCGCGCCTGAGTGAGACTTTCAAAATCTATAACGATACGGACGGACACACTACCAGCCCCCTTATATTATAGATAGCTGCGATATTTGCATTCTCAATATTTAGCGCAATTTCCTTACAGGAATTGCGATTATTAACTCGTCATTTCAGTATGGATGGATGGATGGATGGATGGATGTGCGCAGATTTGAGTCGTATCTCCTCCTCAACGAAGCAATATCGAGGACTAGTTCCAAAGCAAATATGTTAAGCAAGTTCCGAGGATGAACATAGGCCAAAAAATTCCCGGAATTCCTTCCTGGATTTCCCGGAAAAGCCAAAACACCTCGAAAAAAAAATGCAGTTTTTGGCCCATATCTCGGCAACCAGACCACTTAGCGACTTGAAACATTTACCAATCGATTCCTGCCTTAAATTAGAACAATATTGCCAATATTGGTCACAAAAAATTTAATTAATTTCTTCTAATTTGTATTGGCTAAGATTACTAAGAATATACAAATATTTCTAGAAGAAACGAAGCGGTGAAGTTCCAAACCAAGCACACCGGCCGAGGCAGTCGCTAGTGAGAGGTAACGTCTACTTGTAACACGCTGCCATTGGCCAGACTCGCGCAGATCTTGCGAGCGGGCGGGGACTAGCTCTGCTCGTCTAGTTTAAACTGAGCATCTTGTAGGTTTTTAGCGCAAAGCGCTGAGGTTCGAAAGGATTTTACCATAGTGAATGAGCGGAGGTTCGAAAGGATTTTTACGTAGGTCTGTGAATTCTAAAAAAATAATTAAGGAAATTGCGCTTAAATTTTCACTAGACTTTTTATTGACTTGTATTTTCTAGAGTGAGTTGAATTTCTTATTAAACAACCCCCCTGGCATAATTAATTACTCGCTTATAACCGTACTTCGCTCGGGTAATAGACTTTGCGCAACGCTTTGTCCGTACCTTGAGTATGCGTCTAATATGTTTTGATATTGATATTACTCCCATACACATACACACGTCCTTGCACGTGAGCTTGAACATAGACATGCACATGTACTTGCTAATACACGAGAACCTGCATATATACGTGCAAATGCAAATGCAGATGGACATCGGCAAAAATATAATTACATCAGTTACCTTAAACTGGTTAAGGCGGAGGGTAATTTGAATCCTGAATGTTACATTAACTTGATATGGAAAACTGGAGATCGGGATGTAAGTAGCAGTACTCCATGTATAGTCGGTTCTATAATTTACGAGGATTCTATTAGTATGGGTTTGATATCTAAACCTGTTATCAAAATGTACTACTACAGCATCAGTCATGCAATCTGATGGTTTTCCCGTTTTGCTGGCTTGTATGAAGTTAAAATCAAATCTGTTGATTATTAAAAAAAAAAAACTATCAAAAAAGAAAATGTCAAAAGTTATAATGGGTTGTTTTTCTTTATGTTACTAAATGTGATTATATTATTTCTTTAAGTTACATTAAAAATGTAAAACTACCGCGGGAAAGACCGTTATAGGGCTCTCTACATAATATATACTTTGTGATCCATGAGTATAGTATATATATATATATATATATATATATATATATATATATATATATATATATATATATATATATATATATATATATAAACCAAAAAATATGAACATAGGATACTCATTTCTGGCCTGATCGGGTTTTGAAAATTAAAATTTCTTTTTTTCAATTAATATAAATTACAACGTCTCATGGGTGTGAGCGTGTATAAGTGTGTTTTGGAAAATCTGTTTTATTTAAAGTTGGACGTAATATTATTTAACAATAAGTCGGTCAAAAGAATATGAAATATCAAAGCTTTTTTAATATAATGGTTTCTCGTGTTATGTTTATTTTATGTATTTTTGTATTTATATTATTAATTTTAAATAAATTTCCTTTTTTTTGCTATGTAATTTTTAGTATGTATATTTTTAAAAATATTTAATAGAAGTAATTGCTCTTTTTAATCGTTTAGTACAAATCTAGGAAAAGGTGCTTATGAGCACCCCTATTTGACTATTTAATAAAGGGAAATAAGTCATGAAGGTGGTTTAAACGTTTGCCTATCTTTCCCAATGGTTTAAAAACAAATGGAAAAAAAATATACAAGAGCGCGGGATGGTGTCTATAGAATAAAGATAATCCAACCGCAGCTACAGTTTTCTTTTAACAAAACAACCATCAAGTCAAAAATTAAAGAAAATTAAGTTTTTTAAGTAAAAAATAATCATTAAAAAGTTTTAAAAAACCCACGTTTTCTGATTGAACTAAAAAGTAGAAAATAAATACTATACATCACAATAATGCAAGCGATCACTCTACTATAAGCGATGAAAAACGTGGGGCGCCGAAGTAAAAGTTATATTACTATTGATTAGATAATACTATTGACTTTTATTAGGGAGCTTGTAGAGAGTCAACAGTATTAGAAACTGTAAGAAAATCACGGCGCCCCACGTTTTTCATCGCTTATAGTAGAGTGATCGCTTGCATTATTGTGATGTATAGTATTTATTTTCTACTTTTTAGTTCAATCAGAAAACGTGGGTTTTTTTTAACTTTTTTAATGATTATTATTTTCTACTTTTTAGTCTTTGTCTGTTTGTTTGCATTAAAATGTTGCTATCGATTTTATCTTTTCACTTTTTTTTTGGGTAAACGAAGACAACTCGTAAAAAGACAACTCGTAAAAAGACAACTCGTAAAAAACACGTTGTGTGAAAACGTTACTGACTAGAACACATAGATTTGAACCCGCGTCGAGTGGGATAGCAATCGTGTGCCCAACCACTCGACCATATCGTCTCCCCCATACTGGCCACCAGTTGTTACGGTTGTTTGTACACAAATTACAGTTACTGGGTTATGTCCCTTTTCCCCCACGTTTTTACTACAACGAGCCGACCCGCGGCGTATCATACGCCGCTATTTAGTTGATTTATTTTCTACTTTTCAGTAATTCATAATTTGTGAATTCGACAGTACCAATGCTGCCACTGAAAATATTTGCTTTAAAACACTAACCCCCCTCCTTTCCCCTAACCCCGACCCTACACCCCCCCCCCCCCGTGAAAGCAGCATCCTCTTAGTTACCTCCTGTAAGTTTAAAGTCGGTTCAAACTAAATTATCCTCCCCTAATAACCGTCACTAAACCTGGCTGTACGGTTTGTAAACATTAACGTGACCACAGCTCAGCAGACCATGTGGGGTTGGGGACTGTAAGGAGGCGCTTGCAGCTTGTTTTCTAATGGCTCGCAGAGGAGAATTATATATATAGATTATATAGCGGTCTAAAATGCTCAATAAAATGTTTCTATGGATCAATTTAGTAATAATAACAATTGAATATCCTAATGTCATCCAAAAGAAAGCTTCCCTGAAAATTTCAGCGCGCTAGCTAACTGGGAAGTGCCAGAAATTTCGATCGCAAGATTTGATTGGAAAGACAAACAGAGAAAGCAAGTTAAAGAAAACGTGGGAATAAAATAGATTATGGTCGGCCTAGGGCCCCTAAACGGCGTGGGCCCCCCCGCATTGCGGGGTCTGGCGGCACTGTAGTTCCGCCCCTGCATTGGGATAGTATTATTGAAATCACATTGATTTATGTCAGTAGCCTATTTATATCGAGTTTTATACAGAAAGACTAACTCTAATACCAAATTACTTACTAAGTTTAATAGCACATTGTTATCATTAATAAAATTTTTCCTTTCTTAGTATTTCGCTGTTTTTCAGTTAAAATGTTGCCTATCATAATAAGACAGTCAATATCAACATTTTAGCGTAATGTTTATTCGAATATTACCGTAGTGTAAGTCCATTTCACTTGTAACCTTTATTAAGGGGCGAAAGAAACAATTCACACAGATTCTGATTTTTCATCTTAATGGGTTTCTTCTACTTTTGGACTTTTTATTTTTGTAACAAGCGTATGTGCAATAATGCACTAAAAAGTAGAAAACAGATGATTTTCTTTAAATATATAATAATACACTACTATTTATATTACTATTAAGAAAAGCGTGGGTCACTATAATATATTTTGGATACCTTTACTAATATTTAGGAAGAGACACACGGTTGTATTTATATAATACATATTGATACAATTGTATATTTATCTAGCAATATATATATATATATATATATATATATATATATATATATATATATATATATATATATATATATATATATATATATATATATATTGAGAGATAGAGAAAGAGAGAAAGAGTGAGAGAGAGAAAGACAGTAAGGCTGTGTGAAGAGCAGCGAGTGTTTGTTTTATTGTGTGATAAATTGTGAAATTGTAAGACAGTTATACTGATTCTGTTTGAATTAGTTTATTATATTGATTTTTGTTTTTAATGTCTATTATGCATTGATATCTTATTATCTTTATGCATTGTCTATTTTCATCATCCTGGACTTAACAAAATGGGCTAAAATTGGGCCATTTAAATATTTTCCACATATTTAATAAACACCATGAAGTTCTAAAAATTTTAAACAATTCAAACAATCCTTTCCATATCTTTAGTTTCTCTGAAACTCGATTACAATTTTTATAAATGATGATGAGACACCCTTCGCAGATTATAACCTAAGATACATAAAGAAACCGGCGTTTGTGTCTATGTCCACTCCTTTATTCGTTTCAAGCACAGGAAGGATCTGTCAACGGACAATATAGAATGTATATGGATTGAATCGGATACTAGCAAATACTATCCGGCAATTTTAATTTGCTTCCTCTATAGAAATCCCTGCGTAAACCTTAAATGGTATGATCGGTTTTGCTCCATGAAAGATTCCGTTTTATCTACTAACAATGAATATATCGTATTGGGAGATTTTAATATAAATTTATTAAAATCTCTAGGATATTGGCAAGATATTGTTGATTCTCTTAATCTAAAACAATGTGTACACACGGCTTTCAGTGTCAATGATAAATCAAGTACAATAATTGATCACATCTACGCTTCACCTGACTGCAACCTAATAGAGGTCTTGTGGTGTTAGTGGCCATTTCACTGTTTCTTATACATTTTCGCCGAAAAGATTAGGTGTACCTTCGCGGCAACACATCACTATAAATTTTCGCTCTTTTAAAAATTGAATGAAAATCTTTTTCTTGCGGATTTATTGGCTGCCCCCCCTTCTGCTACGTATACAATTGAAATTGTCCCGATCTAGCCATTTCTAAATGGCTTTGTATTTTATATACTATATATGATAAACATACCTAAAATCTCTAAAAAGGTTAAGACTACAAACAAACCTTCTTGGTTTAACAATAATATCGAATCTGCAATTAATAAAAGAGACTGGCTTAGACGAAATGGAACTACTGAGGACATTTGTAAGCAACGAAATTATGTCAAACTGCTCGTGCTTATGTCGAAGTATGTGTATTTTGAGAAGTTATTGACAGGAAACCTAATTCCAAATCTATCTGGACTGCCATAAATCAAATGATAAGAAAAAAACGCATATGCGATACAGCTGGACATTGCCAGATATCTGCCGATGGCTTCAACAATAATTTTATATCATCTGTAGCGCTCAACACAGATGCTGATTAAACTTTTTTGTAATTTTGCTCACCATTGTAGGGCAGAGCTGATAATTCCGCTTCTCACTTTTCATGAAGTTTATGTTAGTCTAAGATCTCTTAAACCGTCTACAACAACTTCGTTTGATGACATCTCTAATAAAGTATTGAAGATTTCAGCTCCAATAATCTCTGAAGTTTTAACCTATATCTATAGCCTCTGTATTGCCAAGCAATATTACCCGAAACATTTTAGCATGCTAAGGTTATACCACTAAACAAAAAGGTAACATCCAAGATGCTAATAACTACAGGCCTATTTCTATACATTCTTCCCTCTCCAAGCCACTAGAAATACATGAAAACAAATGCATGTCAAGCTATCTGGAAAAGCATAAGCTTTTCCATAGTAATCAGATTGGGTTTAGAAAGTTTCATTCTTGTCACATTGTTTTAAAGTGAATGACAACTGGCTTAAAATATTAACAAAAAACTACCTTGTGGCACCCTGTTCGTCGATTTCAGAAAAGCCTTTGATTCTATTTACAGTTAGGTTACTTCACTCCTTTTTATCTAACACACCTCAACGCGTGTTTCACCTTAATACCATCTTTTCACAGAAATATGTCAATATAGTTGTTCCACTTGGCTCAATCTTAGGTCTTTTACTTTTTTCATTAAACATTAATGATCTTGCATTACACACTGACGCAGGTCAGTGCGAGATGTTCGCTGATGATACATCGTTACTTGTCTTTGCAGACAGTGCTAAATCACTTAGTTACAAATTTCAAAGATGTGCCAATCAGCTTGCTACTTGGACAAAATTTAACAAAATGAAACTTCACCCCGATAAAACAAAGCCAATGATTATAACGACTCATCAGAAATGCCTTCGTCTTTCTTTCCACCTCATTACGCATTACTATAGACCAGAAGTCGGCAACCTTTTAAGCCGGAAGAGCCAAAATTTACAATTTACCAAATTTCCAATTTTTTAAATAGCCACAAACATTTTAATTTCAATATTGTAATATTTGATAAGGAATATATATATATATATATATATATATATATATATATATATATATATATATATATATATATATAATTTAAAATAAATAGATTTAAATATGAAATAATATTTATTCATATAAAAACATGCACATGTTTCGCAGAAAAAAATATTAACGTATTTTAATAATTTTATCTAGCTCTGCTAGTATTCAATTATAGAACTTTAATTATTGAATACTATTTACAACGAGCTGACCCGCGAAGTTGCATACGCCGCTATTTAGTTGTTTTATTTCTTATTTTACATATTTTGTTAATTCGACACTACCAATGCTGCGACTGAAAATCAGTAGTTAGTGAAGGACGATGATCCTCACCCTTACTTTCCTCCCCTCTCCCTCCTCCCCCCTCCTCTGTGAAAGGAGCAATCCGTGACGACAGTTTACAGACGACACTGAAAAGATCAAGCAGAACGTGGTATTACCTCCCCTTAGTTTCAAATCGTTTAAAACTAAATTATCTGCCCCTAATAGCCGTCACTAATCGACCCGATAGTAAACAGCTCACCAGACTGGTGGTGGTAGAGATATGGTCTGTTGAACGTACGTCTTGGTTGTGTCTTGCATGGTCCCCATGAAGAGAATCACTGTAGCATCCTGGAAGACTATTCTATCCGTCACAAAATAGTGCATCAACTCGCGGCATTTCTTTTAGAGCAGTCCACTTGTGCAGCGAAATGTGCGTGTTTTACTGGACCTCCAAATCTTCTAATTTGCTCTTGATAGCTGTGAACTTACCATTCCACAAATGTTTGGTTTTCAAATCTAGAAATTTCATTTGAAGCGAACCAGCATCAATTCCAAATCGCTCAAAGTTAATTTCATTTGTTTTTGTGTTGAGAGGATCTACTAAGAACGTCAAAATACTTGCATTTCTTTGGAATTGCTCAAATCTCTCAGTGAACTCATCCTTCATTTTTTAAAAAAAGTAATGAAGTAATTCATGTTAACAGTAGCAGTAGCGTAGCGAGGGGGGGGGGGGCATAAGTCCCCGGGCGCCGACTTTAGGGGGCGCCAAAATGGGTTGGAAAAATAAATTGAAAGGTTGAGGGGGGTGCAAATCGAAAGGTTTAGGGTGGTGCAAATCAAAATCTTGAGGGGGGGGGTGCAAATCGAAAAGTTTGTCCCCGGTCGCCGGGAAGGGTCGCTACGCCTCTGAATATTAGCGTTGGTTTCATCACGATATTTTTCAGGTTTTTCGAAAAGTAAAGTAATTTACCGCTTTTTCGAAACAAACTTCTTCAAGTAAGGCATATGCAGGGTTTTTCCTTTCTTTGCAGTTTTACATTTAGCTCGTTTAGTTTCTTTGTGATATCCCCCTATGAAGTCGAATGTTTCAATTTGGGATACACAAGTTAATATGATTAAAAAGGCGGTAGTAAATATTCTAATAGAATAGCGAGTGCTTATTGTTTATGTTTTTTAATTACATCGTTCTTTACCGAGTGTTGCAGAACAATATTTTTTATCAGTTGAGAAAAAAAAAAATTAATATTTGTGCATGGAGTTGAAGAGCCGCACCTCGACATCAAAAGAGCCGCATGCGGCTCGCGAGCCGCTGGTTGCCGTCCCCTGCTATAGACAATACAAACATTGATCAGGTTAACAGTTACAAATGCCTAGGATTGATTATAGATCACAACCTCATTTGGTCCGGTCATATCCATCTTCTAGAAATGTCCCTATTAAAGACAACTTTTCAACTAGCAAGGAAAAAGGACTTTCTGGAATATAGGAGCAGGCTGGTTATTTATGAAGCTTTTATTCAATCTAGGTTGGATTATGCTTCTGTAGTTTGTAGCGGTAGCTTTATAACTAAGCAGCGTCCTCTATTAGCACTACAAAAAAGGGCTATAAAACTGATTACTGGCTTGTGTAGTAGACTTGATTCTTTTATTACAACTAATATACTTCCATTAAATAAAAAGATTATATATACTAAAGCACTTTTTTATATAAAATATTCCACGAAACAGCCCCCTCTTACTTATCAGACTTTATTTCTTTTAACACAAAATTTAATCGTCTTCTAAATTTACCGATCCCATATACAACTTTTTTCCGAAAAACATAGCTTCGCCTACTCTGGTTTTAATTAGTGGAAAAAATCTTCCTAATAAAATAAAACTATCTAGATCTGAAAATATATTCAAAACTAAACTAAAGCAACAATTATTTAATGACCTCTCTAACTGACTCATTGAAACATTTCTCATTCATCTATTATATTCTTATTTCATCTCATCTTGTATTATAACTATGTAATATTATTTCTTTATTCTACATTTTAGTGCTATGTTACTGCTATGTCGTTACTATGCTATTGCTTTGTTAACAGCTATTATTAAATTTTTATTTTTTTTAATTTTAAAACGGCCAATGTGAAAAAAGGCCTCCGTGCCTACTATTGTTACAGTAATTGAATAAATGAATACATAAATGAATAAATAAATAAAAATAATAATTTAAAAAAGTAGTGTAGTATTATATCATCAAAGAAAATCACTTATTTTCGACTTTGTAGTGCATTATTGCATTAAAGTTTGTTATCAAAACGTATTTTATGCAATACAATTTTCCAGCACTTTACATTTTTACTTTCTCGTATATACGAAATAAAGAGAAAGTCTTGTCGATATGTTTGCAAATCTCGACGTTTTACACCTCCCTGAGTTGGAAAAACATAGTTTTGCAATATTGTTCGTACGTCTTTGTGTGTATATGTGTGTGTGTCTGTCGGTAAACACGATAACTTGAGTACCTTTACAGCTACGTTGATGAAATTTCATATATAAATATTATATCATATTTGGAGTTCGGTAACAAATTTTGAGTGATTTCCGATAGCAGAAAGTGGAAATAATTCTACTTTAAATTATTCAAAAGCCTTTAACTTGAGTACTATTTCAGACATATAAATTAAATTTCACAATTCTTTTTCCTATGAGATTGTATCGTATCTTAAAAAGTTATAGTAATTAAAAATAGATTTAAAATCATGTCTGAATCCGAGTTGCCATACCCCCCTATATTATTTTATGTTTATGTATTAGTTTAGGGGAGATCACTCCCGGTTCATTTTATTTACAATAGAGTTGCATGACCAAAACTATTGCGCACGAAATGAACATGACAATTAGCGTATACTATTTCGGAAAGAGTAGTTCAATTCAGCCAACTCATTTAATTAATTAATAAAGAATTAATAAGTCGTCCAATGAAGTCAAATTTAATGTCATATTGCATCAACTTGAGGTCTCGGCACATGCCAACTTTGAAATGCATCTGTCAGAATTGCCCTAAATTTCACTCACCCGTTTCGATAGACAGACTGTCGACAGACCAACGACAGACATTCCCTAGAATGTTCTAATCAACTCCCCAAAGTTTCATGGCGATCGGATGAACGGTGTCGAACCACAATGGACTTTTTATTTATTTTTTTTGGACTTTTATTTATTTTGTTTTTAACTAATTAATTTTCGTTTGGTCTACTGTTTTTTTTTTGCTTTAAATCAACTAATTTGGTTTATCATTCAATCTAGATAAATTCATTGTATTTTCGAAATAGCTGAGCCGACTTAAAATTTAGCTTTATAATACATTTAACTTTAGAATAGGCTACATGATCTAATCTTCCATGGATGTCATGGTTATAAATAAAGTATTTGTTCTAAACTTTCATAATTAAAGGCGTGTTTTTAAATTTACGTCTTTAAATATTTTTAAAATGATATTTTCAATTTGAACATAGTAAACTTTGGTTTTTGATATGGATGTGGTTGAAAAACTTCATTTGAGGATGATGTGGATGGAAAACGTAACGTTAAAAAAACGGCGTGGTTGTTTTAGATTATGATGAAGGTGGAGTTGTTATATTTAGCTGCATTCGAACAATCTTGACTGTCGTTCCTAAATAATACAATTTTTATCAAATTTAAGCACTATTATTATTTGTAGTTTGCAAGAAAAACACTAACTGTTTTATTTGTTGTGAAAGAAAAAAAAACACTGAATATCAACAGTTAAAATAACTGTTAATTGTTACAGAACGCAATATTAACAGTAGAATTTACAATTATTTCATTATATATGGGGCACAACTGAGTTTTTAATAATTCGTGGTAGTAATGCTGTAAAACTTACCTGGTAAGGTTAGTTGGGTATCCAATTATTATAACTCTCTGTTGTGGAAGTTGTCCGTTTAAAGAAACATATTGAGGCTGACAATACGAATAAAAAAATGTTGATTGCAATTACTATACTAAAATTTAATTGTAATTTATCTTGTGAGGCAAAAATATATCTAGCATTAACCTTTTCGGTAACCACATTTATTTTGCAACTAAAAGCTTAATTAAAAGCTAACCAAAATTTGTTGTGTTAACCAAGCAGGCGTAAAAAAAAGCAAGTGTAAATTTTATACTACATTTATGTAGACATTCATACGTTGTATAGAAATTATACTTATGCACCTATTGTTTATTCTAATGGGTGCTTGGTTTTGTACTTTTATGTAAGAATTTTATATTCTTTTTCCGATGGGTCAGTTATACATTTGCAAAAAGAAAATAATTAGAACAATGATATTTGGACACCAACTTATCATCATAACAACTTATATATCATTATCATTAATAATGTGACAAAAATTATTCTAAATTAAAATCTAAAGAACGCATTGAATGCTTGATATTAAGAAAAGTATAAAGATAAAACAAAACTGATTTCTAATATATATGTAATAGTATATATATATATATATATATATATATATATATATATATATATATATATATATATATATATATATAAGTGTGTATATGTTAAGTTCATAAACATTAATTTTTTACTTACTGGATTTTTCCACTGAAACGCAAAACGTATATATATATATATATATATATATATATATATATATATATATATATATATATATATATATATACGTATATAAATATATATATATACAGAGAGAGAGAGGGAGAGTCAAAGAAAACGTGTGTGAGAAACAGAGAGAGAGAGAGAGAGAGAGAGAGAGAGAGAGAGAAAAAGAAAAAAAGGCCTACAAACATCGTCCTGGGTCAAAATATGAACGTGAGGGAAAATCTCAATATTTGTGTTCTGTGTTGAAAAAAGATCTCACACTAAGGAAACCTCTGTTAACCTCTGTACCTCTGTTAAAAAAACGATGTTACCTTCGGGAAACTTAGGATGACCTTATAATTGACCAAAAGACATATTTCCGTACATAAACATAACATGTTTTTTATGAAAAATAAATACATAACAAAATCTGCACAAACAAACCCACTTGATAAATTACTGAAGTAGTAGGAGTACAAAAAATAGGCGTTTTTTTTTCAAGAAACCGTTAAATGGTTGTTAGAAATCGTAAAACATATTATAGCATTACAGAATATTTAAAAGACGTCAAACACATTATGGTTTTGCGTAGTAGAGGTAACTTTATAAAATAATGATTATACAATATATTCTATACCATTATATGGAGAAAAATAATTGACGATAGATAGTATTCATTTGAGTAATAATTGCAATACATATTAAAATATTTATTCTCATGAAATTAACTGAAAAAACAATTGTAATATAAAGTTCTTGTTCTTTTATCGTCGAATCCTATGATTATTTTACTTACATTATTATTATTAATTAGTGCGCAATAATTAAATCATTCTCATGTTTAACTAGGCATACTGCCAAGCTTCACTCAGGCAGTGGCGGAACTAGAAAAAAAGGGCCACCACGCAAAAAGAAATTCTGGGCCCCCCAATATATATATATATTTATATATATATATATATATATATATATATATATATATATATATATATATATATATATATATATATATATATATATATATATATATATATATATATATATATATATATATATATATATATATATATATATATATATATATATATATATATATATATATATATATATATATATATATATATATATATATATATATATATATATATATATATATATATATATGTATATATATGTATGTATATATATATATATATATATATATATATATATATATATATATATATATATATATATATATATATATATATATATATATATATAAACACAATACAAACATTGTATACTCATTTCTAGCCTGATCGGGTTTTAAAATATTTTTTTTTTCAATTTAAATAAATTTCAACATGTCATGCGTGTGAGTGCATTAGTCAAGGGGTCGGTAACGTTTTGGGACGGAAGAGCCAAATGTAATAATTTACCAAATATCCCAGTTTTTAAAGAGCCACCAACATTTTTATTTTAATATAATATTATGCTATTTGATTAGGATTATATATATATATATATATATATATATATATATATATATATATATATATATATATATATATATATGATTTGGTGTCATCCCCGTAAATGGTGTCACCTCCCTAATTGGTGTCACCAGGTGCGGTCCGCAAACTTCCCCCCCCCCCCCCCGCCACGAACTCGCTACGCCACTGTATGGCGTAACTAAATGTTCTAAAAGAATAGCGAATGTTTAATGTTTATGTTTATTATTTTATCGTTCATTATCGAGTGTAGCAAAACAATTTTTTATGAGTTTTGAATATAAAATAAAACAATTATTAATATTTGTGCATGGAGCTGAAGAGCCGCATCTTGACATCAAAAGAGCCGAATGCGGCTCGCGAGCCTCAGGTTGCCGACCCCTGCATTAGTCTGTATTGAATTATTATTTTTTTTTTTAGATTTAGAATTAGTCTATTCAAAATGTTTGCTGTAATACTGCCTACTCGCAAGTTATAATCCGGTCAAATGAATATAAAACGTGAAAGCTTTGTATGTGTAATGGTTTCTTGTGTTATGTTAATTTTTATGTGTTTTTTTTTTTGTATTTATAATATTTGTTTTAAATATATTTCCTTTTTATCCTGTGTTATTCTTTAGTATGCATTTCTTAAAAAATAATAATTAAGAGAAGTCATTGCTTTTTAATTTGTTTAGTACAATTATATTAAAAGGAGCCTAGGAGCGCCCCTATTTAATTAACTATTAAAAGAAGGGAAACAAGTCATGGCAGTGTTTTGAACGTTTGCCTATTTTTCACACTGAAGCTCAGGCATATATTTTTTACACAACAGCATGTGTTAGCTACTGCATAACAACACTACTGTAGTAGCTTGTTCTTTACAAAAGCTTTCATCGTCAAGTCAAAAATGCAAAAAAAATATTTTTTTTAACTATAAAAAGTTTATTATGGTCGGCTATGGGCCCCTAAGTGGCCTGCCCCCCCCCCCCGCATTGTAGGGTCTGGCAGTACTGTAGTTCCGCCCCTGCGCTCAGGTTTGAATGCTTATTTAGCTAGTGCAGGGGTCGGCAACCTTATGAGACAGAAGAGCTAAAAGTTACAATTTACAAAATTTCAAAGTTTTTAAAGAGCCACCAACATTTTTATACTATTACTATTATTAATATTGTGATCTTTAATTAGGACTTTGTATATATATATATATATATATATATATATATATATATATATATATATATATATATATATATATATATATATATATTTATATATATATATATATATATATGAATATATACATACATAAAACAATGTATGTGTTTGTGTGTGTGTCTTTCTTTTATGCATTAGTACACCTTTCATCCGATCGCCATGAAACTTGGGAAAATTGTTGAGAATACTCCTAGGGAGGTTTGTGCAAATTATTTTTTTTTAAATTTCGCAAGGGCGGCGCTCCATGGGGGTAGAGGTGCAATTTTTCTCTATATACGGTAAAAAAAGTTGTATGCGGATCGACACAGTTTATCCGAGTGCCATGAAACTTTGAAGAGTAGATGAAAATACTCCCGAGAAGATTGCTGCGAAAAAAAAATAATTAAAATTTCTTATGGGCGGCGCCCGTGTGGTGCATTTTTTTGTCAATACACGTTTTGGCGCCCAGAGTTCCAGAGCGGCTATGTTAGTACTTGGCATTCATTAATCGGGCGTTCTGCATAGCGCGTAAGGGGCACTACTATGTTCAGCGGCAAAACTGCAACAGACACAACCGCCGGCGCCTCGTCCATTTGGCGACCCTGCGAGCACTATAGCGTCTATATTGTTTTTTTAAAAGGCTGTACACTATAGACACGATGGGCAACAATACGTTCATTTTATACAGCGCGATATATAGGCTATGGATAGAATAGGTTGTTATAGTCGCTCACTAAATCGAATCAGGCGCGTCCTCCGGCGTCACTGCAGGGTGCGATTTGGCGGCCAGGGCTATCCCGTGAGCACTAAGCGCCTACCTTAGTTTTAAGGAGCACCCTACAATACGACATTTGATAATTAAACCGAGCTTGAGGCAGTACGCGGCGCCCCGGCGGTAGTGTTATCGGATTCAAGAGAGCGCCACTTACCGTCGGTGAGTGATTAATGGTGATATTACGGTGAGTGATTAACTTACACTCAAGGTTTTCACACAGCACGCCATGGTGGTGGGCGCTAGTGTCCCGATAAATATGATCCAAACACACGCATTCTTTATATTTAAATAACTCAGTTTTAGGAAAGAAGGAAGTAGGTCTACATTAAAATATCGAGTCACTAAATATTCTAAGAGAATAGCGAGTGTTTACTGTTCATATTTATTACGAGTCGGCCCGCGGCATAACATATGCTGCTATTTAGTTTTTGTTTTTTCTACTTTTCAATAATTCATAATATGTGAATTCGACAGTACCAACGCTGACACTGAAAATATTTCTCTAAAACACTATAAGTAGCTCGTTAAGGACCATAACCCCCCCCCCCCTTCCTTCCCCCCCCCCCCAACGTTTAAAATCGTTTCAAACTAAATTATCTGCCCCTAGTAGCGGTCACTAAACCCGACTCCACGAAGGTAAACATAGCGTGAACCACAGCTCACTTAGACCATCTATGGGTGGGGATGACAGGGAGCGCGTTTACAGCTTGTTTTCTAGCGTCTTCCAGAAGAGAATTATATATATATAGATTATATCGTTCATTACTGAGTGTTGCAGACTAATACTTTTATGAGCTTTAAAAATAAAACGAAATAATAATTTATATGTGTGTATCGAGCTGAAGAGAAGCATCTTGACATCACAAGAGCCGCAGGCGGCTCGCGAGCCGCAGGTTGCCGACCCCTGAGCTAGTGAT